CGTTTCCAACGTTTTCTCCGTCGGGGTGGTTAATAAAATTTGCCGCTCTAATGTTGGTATAATATAAATTGTTTATAATGTAATATGTATTTATACATATTTATACATATTTATACGCCTCCTTAGATTAGGAGCACTTTTTTAATTACAATTTATAACAATTTATAAAATATTGTCAGACCAAAGCATTTTTGTAATTAAAAAAGTGCTCCTAATCTAAGGAGGCGTTTTTACCAAAACCTTGTAAAAAACTAAGGATGGTGTCTTTTTAATATTTTGAAAACGTCACATTTTTGTCCTAGGACAGCCGTTTACTTTCCGTCCTGAAATGTAATCAGCTGTTTACTTTCGTCTTTGGATAATATCATTATTATTATTGTTGCTGTCATCACATATCGTCCCAAGTATCGTATGGTAGCGTATCTTTAATTTAACAATTTTACAGAGCATTTTAAAGATTGAAAGTTTTGAGCTAATTTAGAATATTTTTTGGAAAAAAAATATTGAAAAATATGCTATATATATCTATATCTTTTTTTACCTGCGTGCGGAAAGTTTCTACAAAAGTCAGTGTCAATTAATTTTTAAGAAAATAATGAACCACCGTGTAATCGTCATAGTAATGATAAATCCTAGTAGGATTATACTACCGCGGTATACCGTGGAGAAAGAGTTCAATTTCCTCTACAGTTTAAGACTGAGCCACTTTCTTAATTGAAAAAGTATAGGAAATGTACAAACAATATGATTAGAAAAATATATTTACAGAACATGACTCAAAAAGTATGTGGAATCCAAAAATGCAAATAAAAGGGATATTTTTATTAAAAATAAGAAAGTTGGAACCGTTCCAGAGAAAACCAAATACCCTGTATCTATAAGTAAAAATATTATTTAAAAAAAATTGTATTAGTTCATTAGTATTTAGTCATTTCTTTTGACAAAAACAACAAATTATATCAACCTGCAAAGTTACAAGAGCCCACAGCCCACTTCTAAGTTTGACATGTCAAACTCAAAAGACAGCTCACAGAATAACACAAAACCACGTTTTTTTACTACATTTACTACATAGTCAATGTATAAAATGTAATAAACCCAATTTTTACGTTAGTTTCCCATCCCTGGGCTGGAGGCCTTACAAGGAACTTGGCAATAATAATTTTATAAAACAAACTGGCTACCAAACACTAAAATTCACATTAACACATGTGACGCAGCATTGCTGCGTTCGTTTAACGATCTTCGTTATTTATGCATCGAATAATATTAAGTACATTGTATCGACGTTGCTGCGTCGTACATTGTTGTCAGCTTCACTTGATGCAGGATTACCGTAAGTTTAAAAGAAATATTCACTTTTTTAATATACACCAAATTTAAAAGCGCACCCTTGCGGCAAACTGCCAAACTTCAATATACACGTATTTTACAAAAAACCATCAATGCTGCGTCACTCTTAAAAACGGTGTGTAGGATTGTCATGACGTCACCAGTAAAATAAACCTTAAATGTAATGCTGCGTCAATATACGACGCAGCATTACACCTGACGCAGCATTGAATGCAAATTTCATAATGTATTGACGCAGCATTGTAGGCGGGATGTATATATATATATATATATATATATATATATATATATTTGTTAATATTTATATTCTTAAAAGTATTTTTATGTGTGCCCAAACAGTTAAATGAGGAAATATAAATTTTGGAAAATGCCTTCTTCAACAAGATATTGCCGAATATGCTAAAGAGACACTAGAGAAAATGAAATATACCGTAAACTACATAAAACTTAAAATCGCTTCATTAAAGCCTACAATTAGGAAAACTGAAAATGCTGAATATGAAGTAAAGCACACTTTATTTTCTACAATGGTGGATGGCAAAGTAGTGCTAGTGTTGACAGAAACACCTTCAGCAGCTTATTGTGTTCTTTGTGTTGAATATATTGAATAGGGTTAGAGATCAAAATATAGATCCATATTGTGGATTCCACATATGGCCATTCAAGTCTTCACGTGTGGATTAGGTTTATGGAATGTTTATTATATATTGCTTATAACCTTCCATTTAAACCATGGAAAGTTAGAACTGATAAAAATAAGGCCCTAAAAAAATCAGAAAAATTAAGAATTCAGAAAGAATTTTTGGAAAGAAAGGGAATAAGAATAGATGTGCCCCAATAAGGAGCAGGGACTACCAATGATGGTAATACAGCTCGTAGATTTTTAAGGATCCAGAGACAACATCAAATATAACAAAAGTAGATGTATATCTTATTAAGAGGTTTCACAAGAAACAGCCGAGCTCTATGTGTCTCTATATAGTTGGTACTATATGCCATCTGTGCATACAATTTTAATTCATAGAGAAGATATAATAATAAGCCATTTTTATTTGACAATCGGCCAATTATCGGAGGAGGCTCAGGAGGCTAGGATATTCTAGAGAACATCATACTCGAAAAATATCAAGAACTACAACAAATGAAGACTTGCTTCATAGACTTTTAACAACCTCCGATCCATTTATATATAGGGTGTTATGTAATTAATGTTATATATTAAAATGGGTTGTTCCTTAGGGTTCATAAAGAAGCACCTGAAACTTTTTTTTTCTAAATTCCAAAGTCTAAAAATAATTTATAATAACCTTTATCCTACCAAAAAGTACGCCACTGATCGACTAGGAACTTTAGGTTAATCTGGTGGATTTATTATGTTATGGTTGGTAACAACAGTATTTCCAAAATCTCTCAAAAAAGTTGACAAACATTGTTTAAATTTAGCTTAATTACAAAAATGACAAAATTAACAATGCAAATTGTCAATTTGGCGTTTTTATTAATTGTTGGTTATTTCATTTTTGTACTGAAGGTAAATTCAAACAAAATCTGCCAACTTTTATGACAGAATCTAGTGCATTTCTTTTAAATTTTAGGTTATGTTTTCAAATTGTAAATATCTTAACTAAGGGAAGTGCTTTTTGATTTATTTACACAAATTAAATGTTTAAAGTTTAACCTGTGAACTGGTCCCAATTTCATCTGAGTAAACAGAGAAAAAAACTGATGAAAAAATTAATTTTGTGGTTATGGATTTCAAATTTCAAAGGTACTAAATTTTCTAATCATTGCTTAAGCTAATAGCTGGATCAGTAAATAAATACAGAAGGGTATTAGAGCTTTAAGGGCATAAAAACTTTTGTATTTATTGAGTTTTTATTTATTTTTTGCAAGAAAAATGTTTAGTAACAATTTTTTACATCTGGCAACGCATAGCTACTTTGTTGGTTGGTATCTATGTACTCACAAAATACAGGTGTGCAGAGATAAACAAGTGTGTAACCAGTGGCGTATCACAAAAAATATAAAAAACTTCTAATGCATATTTTTTCTTTATCTTTGGAAAAATGTTTTTTTAAATATTTTTCCTTTATTCCTTATGTCAAAAGGTATTCAGTATTTTAATATATAACATTAATTACATAACACCCTGTATAAAAAAGAATATTTTTAAAAAGGAACAAATCGGATTTAGATTCTACATATACAGAACTGTTATTATAAGTTTATTTACTGCAGACAAAATATTCTTTGGAGTATATTTTTATGAGCAATAAATGTTCATTATTTCTGTTCCAAGCCACAGATTTATAGTCATACGAATAATGCAATTTTATGTATTATAATTATTTTATTAAATAATTTAAAAAATAAATTTATTGTTAACAATAAACAAGTTAAATAATTTTAATTATAAATAAATAAGATTTCAAGTTATTAACTCTTATCAATTTCGTACTTTTACAAAATTTTGATATTTAACCCTTATACAATCGCCGCCGCTGAGCCAATTAAGTTAAAATTTGTACAGGATTAAGATTAATACCACAGAATTATGGTGTTCAAATTTCTTTATGATACCTTAATTAGTTTTTTTTAATTTTGGCGAGTTTTTTGCCATTCCAGTCCTCTGCGCGTCTTCGCCCCTGTGAATAATTTACATCACAGAGTTCAAGTAGTAAGGGTTACGGTTTAGCACCAATTTTCGACCACCTCCAATCATTCCCTAAAAAAATCTCCGGAGAAGATCTGTTCTCAAACTTCGATTTAGTACCTGCATCACCTACATAATCACCTGATATGAAGATTTTTGTACTCATAATTTTGTCATCATTCGATATACCTAGTGTGACTGTACTATTAAACTATCTAAAAGTAGGTACTACTCTTCTAACCTCATAAATTTCAAATAATGATTTTTGAAAAGGAGAAAGCATATTGAAAAGTCAAAAAGGATTTGTAGGGGAAGAGTAATACTTTCAGCTGGCTTAAGGAGGACGCGCACTGAATCGACTCGGCTCGGCATATCTCCACCCACTGGCAAAGAAACCTTACAAAATATTGCTGCAATGTTCGCCGACTTTACAAATAAAATATTTCCTGTGATACTTGCATTAACATAAATGAAATGTTACATTTAAAATATTGCCTATAATAATTTCCAACAACCTTAAATTTGAAATATTATTTAAAGATTCACATGGAAAGTTTTTACAATTTATATGTTATATTTGTAACATTTAGTATAAAATGTTGCATAAAAGTTTTTAAACATTACAATTATAATATTGCAGACATAACTTTTTTCAATGTTTCAATTGAAATATTAACACAACTTTCAAATGAAAAATGTTTGCAACTTAAAATATACAATAAAAATATTTATTTTGTAATGTTTGGGAATATTTTTGAAACATTTCAATTATAATATTACATTGATAAGTTTTGGGCAATGTTTCATCTGAAATATTACATTAAGATGATTTTTGCAATGTTACTTTATATAAACAATATAAACATTTAATTTGCAAGATTTTTAGAACATTGCAATTATAATATTACATTGATAAGTTTTGGGCAATGTTTCATCCGAAATATTACATTAAGATGATTTTTGCAATGTTACTTTATATAAACAATATAAACATTTAATTTGCAAGATTTTTGGACTCCTCCTTCTTTAATCGCCTGGTTATAGATGTCTGGGACATGCCAAGCTCCTGAGCAATCCCTCTGGTACTTCTTATTGGATCTTCTTGAATCAGCTGGATGATTAACTCATCGGCTTCGGGTACAATCTCTGGAGGCCGACCAAGGTCAGGACCTGCCGTGGGAATTAGAGATCCAGTCTCTCTAGCTCTGACCATCATCCTTTTAAAAACTCCCGGCGATGGGTGGGTTATGTCAGCGAATCTTGCTGAGTATACCCGGGCTGCTTCATTGCAATTTTCTTCATAGAACCCAAGTACCATCATCATATTCACATATTCTTGATTGGTGTACATTTTATTAAATAGACCCGAAAAAATAATAACCAAACACCAAAAAAATAAAATATAAACGTCAATGTCAATTTTCGTATTGTTCATTACGAAGTTGCCAGATCATTTCAATTGTTAAAAAATCATTCTAAAACATTAAAATTAAAAGAAAATACACTTTTTCGGGCAATTTTTTTGCTAGGATATATTTAAGAAGCCTAAACTCTTTAGTAAAAATCATATAAGGTGGAAAAATATTAAATAATAAAAAAGTTAAATTTAAGACTTAAGACCTGAATTCCTGGGTCACTTTTTTATTTGGAATTTTTTTAACATTTTTCCCTACCTATATTAAGGCCCGCCTACATGCACCATTTGGGAAGTTCACCACTTATGACTCACCCTGTATATATATATATATATACAGGGTGTTATGTAATTAATGTTATATAACATTAATTACATAACACCCTATATATTAAAATACTGAATACCTTTTGACATAAGGAATAAAGGAAAAATATTTAAAAAAACATTTTTCCAAAGATAAAGAAAAAATATGCATTAGAAGTTTTTTATATTTTTTGTGATACGCCACTGGTTACACACTTGGTTTATCTACATAGATACCAACCAACAAAGTAAAAAATTGTTACAAAAAATTTTTCTTGCAAAAAATAAATAAAAACTCAATAAATACAAAAGTTTTATGCCCTTAAAGCTCTAATACCCTTCTGTATTTATTTACTGATCCAGCTATTAGCTTAAGCAATGATTAGAAAATTTAGTACCTTTGAAATTTGAAATCCATAACCACAAAATTAATTTTTTCATCATTTTTTTTCTCTGTTTACTCAGATGAAATTGGGACCAGTTCACAGGTTAAACTTTAAACATTTAATTTTTGTAAATAAATCCAAAAGCACTTCCCTTAGTTAAGATATTTACAATTTGAAAACATAACCTAAAATTTAAAAAAAATGCACTAGATTCTGTTATAACGTTGGCAGATTTTGTTTAAATTTACCTTCAGTACAAAAATGACATAACCAACAATTAATAAAAACGCCAAATTGACAATTTGCATTGTTAATTTTGTCATTTTTGTAATTAAGCTAAATTTAAACAATGTTTGTCAACTTTTTTGAGAGATTTTGGAAATACTGTTGTTACCAACCATAACATAATAAATCCACCAGATTAACCTAAAGTTCCTAGTCGATCAGTGGCGTACTTTTTGGTAGGATAAAGGTTATTATAAATTATTTTTAGACTTTGGAATTTAGAAAAAAAAGTTTCAGGTGCTTCTTTATGGACCCTAAGGAACAACCCATTTTAATATATAACATTAATTACATAACACTCTGTATATATATATATATATATATATTTATATATATATATATATATTATAGGCGTATAGCTTACGGATAAATAATTATAATTAATTATTATTATAATAATTCAAATTAATTTAATTGCAATGTTCCTGTAATGTTGCAGGAACCTTACATTAACGAAAATAACATTTAGTAACATTGCAATTAATACATTTAAGCAATATTTTATTTGTAAATGTAATGTTCCTGAGCCGGCCACAAGGATTTTTATAACATTACACCTAACAAATGTAATGTTGCAGGAACCTTACATTAACAAAAATAACATTTAGTAACATTGCAATTAATACATTTAAGCGACATTTTATTTGTAAATATAATGTTCCTGAGCCGGACATAAGGCTTTGTTGCAATGTTCCTGCAACATTGCCACAAGGATTTTTGTAATATTACACCTAACAAATGTAACGTTCAGTAACATTGTAGAAATATTATTTTTCCCAGTGTGCAGGGGCTGATCCAGGAGCTCCCTGCACGATTACATACATGATACAAAAATGGACTAAAAGAAAGAATCACAGACATTTTAGAAACATGTTTATTAGACTGGGCCAAAAAAATCGACTATTTTTTTTTGGAAAGTATATCGAAAATATTGTTTGGGGTAATAAAAAAAAATTATGGTGAAAGTTTGAGTCCATAATATTAATATTAAGAGATCTATCATCGCAATTTTAGATTTTTTTTTCCTGAGCATGTTTTTGTCTCAGAACTCCCAAATCATTGAGTAACAAAATTGACTTAAGAATATTTTTTGAAGAAAATTGAATGCTCTAAAAAAAATGTTTGATTGAAATTTCCCGTCAGATGAACCCTTTTCTTACAATCATGCCTTAAAAATTGGTATAGTTTTACAATTTGATCTTTTAACTTTGGAATTTTGTAATTCAAGTAAAAATCAGTACCCTGAAAAAAAAACGATAAATATTCTTATGGGAAATCAAATGCTCTACAAAAAAGTCTTTTATCATTTTTGGCTAAATTCACTCCATCAAAAGTTATTCAAGGTTAAATTTGTCAAAACGAAATTTTAACCTTGAATAAATTTTGATTGAGTGAATTTAGCCAAAAATGTTAAGAGGCTTTTTTTGTAAAGCATTTGATTTCCTATAAGAATATTTATCGGTTTTTTACATGAATTACAAAATTCCAATTTAAAAGATCAAAATGTAAAACTATACCAACTTTTAAGGCATGATTTTAAGGAAACGGTTCATCTGACGGAAAATTTCACTTTAACCTTTTTTGTAGAGCATTTAATTTTCTTAAAAAAATATATTGTCCGATCACAATCCTTTTTTTTTTCGTTAATTGTGATAATAGTTTACCACTTTTCCGAATATAGGCGTATTAAATTTTTCCCATCATGTATTTTACTCCACCCTAACGCGTAATGTGTGTCAAAATCATGGAGTTTGTTTGGCTCCATAATGTACCGTACAGTTTCAAGGGAAATATAAGAAAATGTGTTAAATGTAGTATTATAATTGTTATAGATTGATAAAATTCAACTTTATACTTACAAAATTGTATGTATTATTGACTAATCGAATATTTAATTAATAGTAAAATAAAAACGTGTCGGCGCCAATGACTAAGGGCCGGTTTATCAATCTCTAGTTAAGTTCCAGTTAGTCTATCTGACAGTTAAATTTCATATTGATCGTTGTGAGAACAATGGTATCCATGGAAATTATCTAACAGATAACTAACTGCAATTTTAAGTGGACATTGATAAACCGGCCTTAAGAGAACTAAAAGATAAATGTACGTCTTTCTGTCGCATTTAATTAATTAGATTTAGAGGTACAAAATTTTTTGTACCTATAAATCTAATTCATTTTTGCCAAAAATAAATAAAATAAATACTACAAAGTAAAAACTATAACCGAAAAAAGAATCCTAAGTCTTGTCTCATTTTAATACTTAAAATTTAAAAGGATGATTATAATAAATTTAGGTATAATTTAAATTCTAACCTACGTTTGAACTTTTCTGAATTCGCAAAACGGTTTAATACATTTTCAACGTTAATATTAAATCCAAATGAATATGTAAGAGCGCTAATCCCAGAAGTCTTTCTTGCGTCACCCGGTTTCTCAGCCAACTTTTAAGAGCCGTTTCACATGCGACTGAGAAAGTCCTGACGATCAGTCCTAATGATACGGACTGACGGTCATGGCCATTGTTTCACAAGCAACGTATAGTACGGAAATGTCTACTACGAGACGCAAGATACATACACCTAAGATAAGATAAGATAGGATGGTGCGCATGGTGGGCGGAGCTAAAATACGTCACATGACGTCACTTGATGAGTAGTTTTAAATCTCTAACGTTCGTTTTAATTATCTGCCGCTAAAATTCTGGTTTTTGCGAAGCTGTTAGATGTTAAATTGCTCTGATTTTTTGTTTAACTTGTTGTTTTTGCGTTCTGTAAGGTTAGAATTACTTTTCAGTGTTTAAATTATTGTTATTGCTTTGTGTTAACCTGTTCTGTTTGTGCTAAAATTATTGTTTTTGTGTTTCGTTGTTTTGTTTGTGTATTATACTATAGTTTGTGTTGTGCCATTTGCATTTATTAAAATGCGGTGTGCCATATTTTGATGCATTTCGGACAACCAGTCCAAGAAAAACCCTACAAATAAAGACATTAAATTCCATCGATTTCCGAAAAACATAAGTTTGTGCAAAAAGTGGTTACATGCCACGAAAAGAGACAAAATTAACGTTAAGCGCGCTACTGTTTGCTCTAAACATTTTCTGGACAGTGACTACAACTTTAATTTGAAACATAAACTCTTAAACTACAGCCCTAAACGTTATCGTGGACTATTTTCGTAGGTAATTCAAATTTTAATAAATATTTTTGGTTAAAATTATATGTATTTTCTTTTAGTAATAAAAAAATACATTTTAATAGATTTAAATATGTTTTCAAAACATAGCATCTATATTAATGTAATAATTATTACACTATGGTAATATGGTAATAAACATTTTTAATTAATTTTTCTTTTTCTTTTAATAATTAATATCTATAAAAAGTAATAAAAAATAGATTTACTTAAAACTATTGTTTTTTTTTAATTATTTTTTTTTTAAATAGATTTAAATATTATCAAATATTTTTCCAACGCATCTAGCATCCATATTAATAAACTATCTTTAATATCAAATTCACAAAAAACGCACTATGTCCAGATATTTCTTTATGTTTTGATAATATTACTAGCATCCATATTAATAAAATACTTTTAATATCAAATTTACAACAAAAAATAGATTTAAATAGTATCAAATATTTTTCCAAATCATCTATCATCCATATTATAACACTTTTTTCAATATCAAGTTTAAAAATAACGCACCATGTCCAGATATTTGTCTATTTTCTTTGATAATATAGCTATTATACGTGTATTCGCGCTGCAACTACTCATCTGGTGACGTCATGCGCGGCGCGAACCAAAACTCGTCCGCGGGAGCATCCAGCCGGAATTGCGCTGTTGCCGCTTTTTGTATAAAGAGAATAATACACGGCAAAAAAGTTCTTTTTTGCGTCCGCAAAATTTTCAAAATCCGGAACTACTATTTCCGCTACTTCTTCAAATGCTTTATTCT